TGTCCCTCCTTTCAACCCTTGTGTTCTACTGCTCTCTCTTCTCTTTCTCCTCTCTTCTCTATACCTTTTCTTCTATTTTCGAACCTGAAATTTATTAGGGTTCAAGGTTGATAGCGGTCTTGAACGTCTACTGTATTTTATTGTTATTTTCTCTTTAGCCCTGAAATGGCTTTTCTGTAAATATTCTTATTTTATTGATCTTTATATTGAGGCTCTTGGGGTGGGGCCGAACTATTCAGTTCACTTCAGAAATCTGTCTTCTCCTCTCTGGTACGAACTACCTGGTTGACATTATTTCCCTTTATGTTACTTTATTTTTTGACAAAAAGTGTAACTGAATTTATTAAAAGCAAGAGGAGTAGATGAAATAATGTACAACTAGAACACTGACAGCTTAGGGAAACATAGGCAAAACTCTGTCACTATACTTATCTTCCCTGTGTGCACCAGATTTTGTCAATTGATCAGCTAGAGAGTTTAGTCCCCTAGGAATAAAGTTGACACATAAATAACCCAAGATGTCTCTGATCTCTGTCAGATCGTGAGATAACCTCAAAGGGCCTCCATACTTCTTCCCTAACCATTTTATTGTGTTTGTAGAGTCACCCTCAATGGTTCGAGTAGACACTCCTGTCTTCTGCAATTCAGAGACCTATGAGAACAGCTAGAATTTCAATCTTTGTTGAGTCATCTGTCCCAAATGGACCACTAAAATCTCACCAAATACTGCCATCCCTTCTCTTGATCACACCACCAACCACTGCTGTACTGGGGTTACCCAGGGCACTACCATCAAAGTTTAGTTTCATCAACGCTTCTGATATAGGACAGCTTCTATTAATACTTAGCAGCCTGGAAGACGAGTGCAGGATCTCTAACAAGTTCCATTGAAAATTCCCCATCAAGATGCCTTTGAACGAAGTCCAAGGAATTTGTCACCCATTGATTGCCAAGTAGGTTATGTAAGAGAGCAAATAGAAAAGATAGCTACAGTGCATACCCATAAAACTCAGAATTAAAATAATATGAAAGATATATTTGGGGGAAAGATTAAAAATAGGGTGGATTTGTAGATAACAAATATTCTACTACTATGGTTTTGCTCTAGAACAGGAAAGTGCAATGCAATGGTTTCTTGCTGAAGTTCGGATGCATGGTTGGATCTTCTAAGAAGATTAAGAAAATTAAGAAAGTTTTTTTAACCCCAAAATTTACTCCCGGTGGAAGGAAGGAGGGGTGGCCAACGCTCTAGAAAAATCTAAATACGAGGCCACTTAAACACTACAAGAATATACAAAAGAAGAAAAGAAACCCACAATGGCCTCTAAACCCAAAAAACTCAAGAAAAATGTAAAAAAGATATTCCTGAACCATCATTGGAAAAGAACCTTTGTGAGAGTCTCAATAGATCATGAATAGTGTTGTAGACAACACTATTTTGTACTGCACTTCCAATCTTGGAGAGTGAGTTTGCTACCTGGTTGGCTTCCCAGTATATATGTACAGTTGTATGTCCATTCTGTCATGCTACGTGTCCATTTTCGCCATCCAATACCAAAGGGACCAGGGCGTCCGACATCTATTCTGTACTACATCAATCAAAATCTTCAAATCAGCTTCTACCATCCCTTTGGAAATGCCCATCGCTTTAGCTAACCCGAGACCATGTAACATAGCCAATGCCTCCACCATAAAGGCAGCTATTTTATATGGAATTGTGGATATGCATGAGGGCAGCTATTTTATGGGTTAGGATGAGAATACTAGAGTTTTCTCTTATAAGTAACAACCTTATAAGGTGTTGATAGATGCTATTCTTATGGAAATTGCCCACTATGTCCCAGACAAGAGAGGAATTCAGAGACATATCAACAAATGACGCTAATAAAGGACTGGGGGGAGGGGGACCATTTACTGAGGGAGTTCTCAACCTCAATTTGATAGGTATTCTCTTGGGAAGCCATCCACCACAGTCTTCAAGTTTTTTTCCCATTTTCAGGGGGAAGAAGGGAATTTTCAAACAAGGGGAGCAAAATTATTAGTATACTAATGTCCTGTAGGTCCAGCAGACTTGCTTAGGGCTGCAATAGTTCGTCTTTGTGGGCTTAAGTTGACGTGTTCAGTGCATTTGGATGGAGTCAAGGTCGAGAGGAACTTACAGATCATTTGGATAGTTCTTCAGCATTGAGTCAACATCTCATTCAAATGGTTTCCAATATCATTCGATCCAGTGGCAAGTGCAAGGGGAGGGGTGGGGAGTGTTGGGTGGTGTCATCTTTCCTGGGTATTCTATGCATTCTTGTTTAGATAGTACGTTTTTGTATGTGTTAGTTAGCCACATTGTGTTTTGAAGACATTTTGACGCAGAGACTGAAGTCAAACTAGAATGCATGGAGAGAGAGAGAGAAAGAGAGAGAGAGAAAGAGAGAGAGAGACTGAGAGTGAATTCCAAGAACCAGAAAAATTTGGAAATTTTTCTCCTTGGGGCCCAAAGGGCTTTAGTGGGGCCTAAAACCTTGATTACCTTGAGAAGGAGTCAAAAGGAAAGTGCCAACCATCTAGGCCCAATTATTTGGACAATATCTAATAAATCAATGGTTAGAAAGTTTTGTTTATTAATTAATTGAGCCACATAGAAAGACTGGACTTTTGCCACAAACAACAGTATAAATGGAAGTGTTTTCATTAGCATCTTCATAGTTATCATTCTCCCCAATTCAGGGTGGGTGTGGCGGGGGGGATCATATGCTGATCTCTAGATGCACCGAGCTTATCTCAACAAAAGAAGCAAAAATCTTAAGACAAAATGAAGAAAAAATATATTTAGAAAGGAGTCAGAAGTGTTGTTTGAAGGACATATGTGTAATATGATTATCAAAAAATGATGTATGTGTACTATATGCAATAATTCATACTTACCAAGACCCAAAGACATCAATGCCTTTTTTAATCCTCCAGATAATTTTATAGCATTAAATACTGCTATTGAATCATCGACTGTATCCCCTGGCCTCAGCAAAACAGTAGCAGATTCAGCTCCTTTTTGTTGAGGACGCTGAAAACGCAATTCCATGGGGAACTCAGTTCCATTATGTATCCTTAGTAAAGGAGAAACTGTGATGGATAAGCCATCCTGCAATTCATCCATAAAAGTTAAATCAGAATAACCATATTCATCCCATGGATATTGATTGTGAGCAAGATAATTAAGCAAATACCTCAGTTTCTTTTGAAATGTCAACTACAACAAATGGCCCTGGGAAAGTTCTTGAATCTGCTCAAGGATGAAACACAAATATTAGGGGCAAAATCAAATAATAAAGAGAGAAGTCTGAACTGAAAACCATTAATACACATGAACTAGAAATCTTGCATAAAGAAGGAGAAATAAGCATGTTGTAATTCTGGGTTATGGTGCCACAGGGGCACTTTGGTCCTTTTATTTATTTTAAAATCTGAGTTGTAACATCCCCTAATATAGACTTGGGCCGTCAGCACAAGATTTTTGGAGCCTCAAACCTTCTCTCTTTTCTCTTTTCTTTCTCTTCCTCTCCTTCGTTTCTCACTTCTCACTATTTCTCATTGGACAATATGGTATCAGAGCATTATTCTGGGCTCTAGAAATTCTCAGGTCGTGTCTCTACTCTCTTGGAATTTAGTTTTTTTTATTGGAGAAGGAAGAATCCTCAATTGGCCTGGTCTGAGCAGACTTTCCCCCTTTTTCTTTCACTCTCTTGGCCATAGTACCAAGAAAAGTACCTTTGGTACTCATGGTGACAACTGGATGATGTGAAGAATTTGCTGTGTAGGAACTGTGGATTGTGGGAGCCTTTTTACCCTCAGCTATGTACAGTTTTATCCATGCTGAGAGAATGCAATAGGCATTGGATGTTACAGTTGGCAGTTTTGTGTGAGACTGTCTCTTTTATGAAGTACAAGGCTGTTTTTCAGTTCAGCTAGGGTTTACGGTCATTCATCGCTGCTGAATGTACTCAGAATTTATTTGTTTGGGATCAGTTTGGTGCTGTTTTAACTGAAATTCTACTGTCCTCTCCTTTATTGTATGCTGTTATAGACATTTTGGTTCAGTTTGCCTCTGTTACAGCTTGTTCTAGTGTCTTCTTATTGGGAATCCCCTCATTTCTTGGACATAACAGTGAACTTATTTGTCTAATGGCCACTGAAGTTCAGCTTCTTCCAATGTCACTTCCTCTCAAGGGACTCAGGGTGTAGGGATGGACAACATGAGTTTTCCCATGGTTATCACTCCTTTAGATGGTTTAAACTATGGCCTAAGAAAATCAAATTATATATTACAGCAAGGGAGAAAGCTGGATATATCAACAGGAAGGTTAAGAACCTAAGACTGGGACTGCAAAACATGATAGGTGGGACCAGGAAAATAGTATGGTCATGTTCTGGCTTCTTGGGTCTATGCAGCCACAAGTGACACTGTGGCCAGACACGGCATGTGAAATTTGGGAGCAGGCTAAGTCGATTTATTCTGAACAGAGGCATTATACCAAAATTTATCAGCTACAGGTTGAGTCCTCTTGTAGGCAAGGAGACCACAGTTTGTCAACTTATTATGTTTCTCTTAATTTTGTTTGGGAAGTATTAGATCACTACCAAAATGTTAAGTAAAAGAACAATGATATGCCAAGACTTACAAGAAACTTGTATCTCAGCAAAGAGTGTTTGCCTTCCCCTTGGGGCTGAACCTCAACAAGTATAGATTTTGGTGAGTAGTGAGATCTCCTTGGTATAACAAGTGTATGCTCTAGTTCTAAGGAAAGCAGAAAGTGTGATGCATGCTTCTGAGGGGAAGAAACAAATTGCATTAGCTACAAAAGCTAGTAGTGGTGGAGTGAAGAAAGATGACTTCAAGAAGGGTGATGATAAAGATAAGTTGTATACTCACTGTTAGAGGTCAAGACATACACGTGAGACATGTTGGGACTTGATTGGAAAACCTTAGTGGGCAAATAAGAATCAAGAACCAAATAAGAAGCAAGCTCAAAAGAAGTATAATTTTGTAAACATGGCCCCTCAAGAATCCCAGACTAATTCTGTTACTGGTACACATGAGCATCCCCGTGCTTCACATTTTAAGAAGGATAACATTAACTCCTTTTGTGATCACTTAGAGTCATATGGTAGGGTTCTTCACTAGGTGGACAGCACAACACCTACCCCATCTACTTCATTTGCATCTACATCAAGTAACGTTGCTTTTGCATTCCATGTGTCCCTCCCATGTTCTTGAATCCCCTTGGGTTATTGACTTGGGCTTCTAATCACATGATCAGTCAGCCACAATTGTTTCATTCTTACAAGTTTACAACCAGCTGTAAATCCCACCTGAAATAATCTGAAATAAAATAGAGAATAGAAAAAAAGATGGAAGAAAGAGAGAAACAATGGAGGAAGAAGGTAGAAGAAAAGGGAAGAAGGAATCGAGAATTTCGAACCTCTCTCCAGACCCCACAATTATCTTTTATATCTTTCATTGAAAAAGAGTAACAATTACAAGTATACCCTTAGTAGGGCGGCAAACACTAAAAACACTAATAAAAGAAATAAAACAGGTCCATAACCAAGGTCCACTAACTAAGAAATTAAACCCAGACAGAAATAAATAAAACAATAATGTCCTATGGCCCATTTGGCTCATCATCTCTACACTCCCCTTCAAGCTGAGCATAGATATCAATCATGCCCAGCTAGATTACATAGTTCCGTAAATTTGCCTTAGGGACACCCTTAGTCAATACATCTGCCAACCGTTGCTCTAAGGCAATGAAAGGAAGACAAACTTCTCGGGAAGCTACCCTTTTTCTTATAAAATGCCGGTCTACTTTAATATGTTTCGTCCTATCATGCTGAACTGGATTGTGAGCTATGTTAATTGCAGCCTGGTTATCACAGTACAACAATAAAGGCTTATCATACCATCTCCTCTAGAAGTGACATGAGCCATGACGGTTCTGAAACACCATGTGCCATTACCTTGTACTCTACCTCAGCTGAAGATCTAGCTACTACTGACTGTTTCTTACTTCTCCAAGAGACAATGTTCTCTGCAACCAAAGCACAATAACCCAATGTAGATCTTCTATCATCAATACCTATCAGTCCAGTCAGCATTTGTATAAGTGTCTATGCCTAGAGAAGAGAATACACTTTCTCAGAGTTCCCTTAAAGTAACACAAAACCCATTCCACGGCAACCATATCTGTCTCTAGGGGCCTGCATAAACTAACTAATCACACTAACAGCATATGACATGAGATATCTAGCCGTGTCATACAAAGGTATAGTAACTTCCCCAAAAGTCTCTGGAAAAATCCCTTGTCTGCCAAGAGCTCACCATCGTTAGCTGAGAGTTTATAGTTGGCATCAATAGGTGTAGAAGCAGGTTTGGCACCAAGTTTCCTAGTTTCCATAAGAAGATCTAACACATACTTTCGTTGCGAGATGAAGATGCCATCTTTAGACCTAGCAACTTCAATTCCCAAGAAATATCTCAGCTCCCCTAAATCCTTAATTCCAAATTCTAAGTTAAGGAAGGCTTTGAGTGCCCGAACTTCCTCACTTCCAGTTCGCAGATGAGTTGATTCTCTTTTGCGAAGGGGAAACAAAGGAAATGGAACATCTTAAAGCTTTAGTAAACCGGTTTAAAAGTGTCTAATCTTAAGGTGAATTGGGGTAAGAGTTGTTTCACAAGAATAAATAGGACAGAGGAGGAAATCACTCTTTTAGCTAAAGTGTTGGGCTATAAGGTGAGTGTCTGGCCAATGAGCTTAGGCTTACCACTTTGGGGGAATCCTTGTTTGGAGAATTTTTGGTAACCAATTATAGAGAGGTTTGAGAAGAAGTTAGTAGGTTGGAAAAGGAATTATATTTCTCTTGGGGGAAGAATCACTTTAATTAAGCCCACTTTAGCAAACTTACCGGTGTACTTCTCAACCTTTAATATTCTAGTGGGTGTGGCTAGGAAGTTAGAGAAAATTATGAGGGATTTCTTACGGAAGCTAGGTGATACTAAGAAGGACCATTTGGTAAAGTGGGAGGTAGTGACCAAAAGCAAGGAACAAGGGGGTTTAGACATTGGTAATATCAAGAAGAGGAACGTGGCATTGCTGGGAAAGTGGATATAAAGATGGGTTCGTGAACAAGATAGATTGTGGCATAGAGTGATAGCAAAGTATTCATGGTAGGGCATCCAATGGATGGGAGGTAGGACTCGACCCAAGGGCTTCCCACTCATCACCTTGGAAGGCCATTTTCAGAGTCATCCCTACTCTCCAAGGTACCACATTTTAAAGCAGCAGACAGGGTACTCAGGTATCTAAAGAAATACCTAGGGGCTGGCCTATTGTTTAAGAAGCATGGTCATATGAAGGTCGAAGACTACAAATGCAGATTGGGCTGAATCAGTGGATGATAGAAAGTCAACCAGTGGATATTGTTCCTTTAGAGGCTGAGTAAAGGGCTATGACCCATGGAGTTGCTAAGGTGTTGTGGATTAAGAACCTAATGGGAGAACTATGATTTATAGTTGATAGTCCCATATCACTCTATTGAGACAATAAAACTGCAATTAATATAGCAGCCAATCCTATTCTCCATGATAGAACTAACCATATTGAGGTAGATAAGCACTTCATCAGAGAGACACTTGACAGAGGTGAAGCATGTACTCCTTATATCAGTTCTAAAGAGCAGCTTGCCAATGTCCTTACAAAGGGTCTTCAGGGTTGAAGGCACAATGATGAATGAACTATGTGACAAGTTGGGTATGATACATATATACAACCCAGCTTGAGGGGGTGTTTGTAATTTTGGCTTATGGTGCCACAAGGGCACTTTGGTCCTTTTATTTATTTTTTATTTTTTAATCTGAGTTCTAATGTCCCCTAATATAGACTTGGGTGCCACCAGACCAAGATTTTTGGAGCCCCAAACCTCTCTCTCTCTCTCTCTCCCCCTTGTTTCTCACTTCTCGCTATTTCTCATTGGACAATGAAGTAAAACAATCCATTCATGCAAGGTGTAAAGAATTTGTAGCTAGAGTTGTAAAGAATAGGTTGGTGAATCTAAAATAACAAAAACTAGCATGATAAAGACAACCTAATAGCAAAAAGAAGATGGAATTTAGATGAAGAGACTAATAATATGTAGCCTCAAATGACTAACTGCATAAAAGATAAGTACCAAAAGAGGTTTTAGAAGAATTTGAAAAGAAATGGCAAGGTACTAAAGAAACATGGTGATGAAATAAAGATGTTCAAAAAATAATCAAAATCAAAACAAGCATGTATAACGATTTGCAAAGAACTAAAAATATATAAAACTTGGAAAAAATATAAAAACACAAAAAGGAGGATCAAGAGAAAGTGAGTGAAACTAATTTAAGACATATGGCAAACTTATATAAGCTAGGTATGAAGAGGGAAAAAATGGAACTTGCATACTTGCAAAAGATGGAAGAAGAAAACAGAGATTTAAATCACATCAGATGCATCAAAGAGAAATGTCAGAGTCATGGTAAATGATGGGGGAAATCAAGGAAAGATGGAGGACCTGTTTTGATACACTACTACATTAAGAACATATAGAAGGTGACAATCGGAAATGGATAATTGAAGTTAATAGGTACTTTTGGGGGAGGACTACCCCCTGTTGTGTAGCCCGTTACAAACAAAACAAGAATAAGATGAGGGGACACCTTATTAAATAGTTTTCATTGCCCTATTGAAAAGTCTATGTAGATATAAACTCATCAAAAAGAATATTATGTAGACATAGGCATATATTTACATGCTATCAGAGTAGATCACATAGAAACAAATTGACGATGATTCATATTTGATGATTTTGGTCCAATCATTATGGATCAAATTTAGGTAGCCTTGACTGGACTGGATACAAATTCATAATCAGGAAAAGAGATACCATTTGCAGCCCTATTTTTTCCCTCTACCATAGTTCATGGAAGATACTAAGCATTTTAGACTTCTTCACTAAACAACTTGACTAGAGAGAGATTTTGGCCTTGTTATGAGTTTTTTTTTTTTTTTCCTTTATTTCTCATGGTAAAAATTGGCCATTTGGTAATGTCTTGAATTTTCACTGCAATTTGGCAAGTGCATAAATTAATTTTCTTAAAGATACCTCCCCAAGATATCAATATGGTATGTAACAGCATAAGCATCACGAATATTTAACTACTATTTGGTAAATCATCCTGAAATTCCTTTTATTAGTATCTAGAAAACCACGTGTTGATGCATTCTTTTGAAAAAAATATATATATTTTAACTAAGAAAATATATGTAATTATGTAGCTATAAACAAATTTTATAGAAGATACCTTGTAATGATACTATACGTGTTCTCCAAGCAAGTACTCGAGGATTCAAAAAAGAAACATGAATTGGAGAAGTTGAAAAATCTCCAACCACAGCAAGCTGGACTGACACAAAGGATGCATTTTCTGGAATCTGATTTGCCAAAGCTATGTGCCTTACAACCATATATTCAAACATTTAAGTAAGATGTCAAACCAAATGAATATAAACCATGTTAGTATTTAATAATATTAATATGACTGAGTAAATAATTGAGTATCAATATGGACAAACCCAAGAATCTAATGATGAGGATAAAGCAACATACATGTCCTAAAAACATAAGCTTCTACTCCTGATAAGTAACAAGATAAAATAAAATACATTAAAGTGAAGATAAAGAACAATGGAATAAAACAGGCCAGCACATCAACCTGGAATTTCTGGAACTTGATACAAAACAGTCCCTATTGTGTCACCCATAGCTAAACAAATTGGTTGATTTTAGAATCCATCTAAGGCCTCGTTCTTTTTCGAGTAAAAATGGGGAGGGGATGTAAATGGGTGGGTCCCATGGAGTTGAAATAATCCCGTGTTCGCTTCTTTGTTAAAGACCTTTTGTGATTCCTCAGTTTCTTCCTTTCCCTTCAAAGAGTTTTGCTGTAGACCCATTCTAACCAAGGTAAGAGCCTACTATAGACTTGCTTCAGAATGAGAGTTGTTGTCACTTACTGATTTCCTGCCCCTTTGTTGCAGATTTCTGGCTTTGGTTTTCTTCTTTGTTTGGGTGCAGGTAGATGTTACCTACGGAGGTTACTATGTTATTTGATCCCTCCTGTTTAACTTGGCCAAAGAAGAGAGGGAGTATAACGTGGAGACGTGCCAGAGCAGCTTTGATTTGGACCATTTGGGAAGAGAGAAATGCAAGAATCTTCTCAGAGAAGGAGAGAAACAAGGAAGAAATCAGGATTTGTGTGATGGTTTGTTATGTGCCTTAGGAGAACTCACCCCTAAAAGCTAGCTGTTAGAGGAGGGAACCCAAGCACATATATACCCCACCACAGCATCCCATTCTA